ATCATCATGCTAGCTGGCACCTGCTACTGAAATGAGCTCATTTTTAGGAGCCTCTCAATCCAAAGAGCAAAAGATTCCATCTTTAACAAAATTGGTCATTGAACATTTAATTTTTGAAATGTTCAAAAACGTATGTGTGTATATAGTGTAAATGTATTTTATGGTAACATCCATAGAGCAAAATTTAAAGGGCTGTTTATTATCCCTGGTCATTTAGCATAAACAATGAGACCTTCAGTGAAACATTCCTTAAAACATTCATCGAAGACGCTTTTCTATGAATTTCTAAATCTAAACCAAAGGCAAAGACCTCTGTTAACCCAATCATAGATCCCAAGATAGCAGAAGCTTCTTATTTTGAAAAATGGGTGGGGCTCAAGCTGATAAGGAACCTTTTATGCATTAATGAATGCTAACTAGGAAGATAGTTGGGAACTTTCCAGATGTTTATTCCTTTTTCCCCCTCCCTCCCTCTCTCTCTCTCTCCTTGGGTGCTCCTAGATAACCATCTCATGGCCCTCAGAAACTTCTTTTATTAAGCTGTCGCATTGTATGCTAAGTTATGGTGGGCTCAACACTGATCCCTTCACAAAAGTCCTTTGTTTGGGGATTCCTTCCATAAACTGGATTCTGTGATCCTTAGCCTATTGTACTTACCTAAATAAGTATTATTTTCTACCTTTTTTCTTCTTTTTCCCAAGCATTATTCAGATCTCAGGAAAGCATGAAAAAGACAAGGAAATTGCTGGCAAATGACAAGGTGGTTCTGGCTTCTATACTCTGAAAAGGATTGAGTTTTTGGCTTGTTTGTTATTGTTGTGGTTTTCTTACAAGCATGTGCCAGTTTTTGAAAAATTCTATTTCCCAGGTACTGGGACCATGGGCTTTTACAGAGGAGCTGTCTTCTCCCACCGGCCCTGGGGACGACATGAAATGTTCTGATTTTGACATCTTTTTCCTTTTCTACTGTTCCTGTTCACTTTCATTTTTATTAGTTTTATTTCAGGGTGGGAGGGAAAAAGGATGAAACTCGCCATTTCCTAGTCATCATTTTTATTCTAGAATAAGATCTTTATTCTCTCTCTCTTTTTTTTTTAATGGGATGGCAGGGTCTGCTTTAAAAGCAAAATTACAGAAATTTTTATTTTCAGTACTCATTAAAGGAAATGGGTGAGATCTTTAAGAAAAAAGGCTGAGCCCCATAAAATGAGAACAGTAAAGGAAAAGATGGCAATAAAGTCAGCATTGGGGGGATGTGTGCGCGTCCCCTTAGGATGGAGAATGTCCCTCTCCTCCCGTGAAAAGCAGTTTTCTTTTCATGGGAAACCCAGCCCCTGGGTTATTAGGCTCACAATGAGTTCCCCAGATGTAGTTCCCAGGAGTGAGGATTCTCAGAGGAATAAAGAGAACCCTAGAGGCTTCGGCTTGTTTTGTCTTGTTCTTGCTTTAGTCAAGTTTTGAATAGGTAATGCTTCCGAAGTGGTGCAACACTCACAAAGCGTAACCCACAGTGAAATGTCTCTTTGCTGTCCCGTAACCACCCGCTTCCCTCCTTATAATCAGATGCAAGTACTTTATTCTATATATCAATGTTCAGAGGTTTACTGTGCACACATGAACAAATACGTATTTTCTGTTTCCCCCCGTTTCTGCACAATGTTAGCATACGTGACAGTGTGAGCCGTTTACCTGGCCATTGTTCCAACCCTTACAGGCAAAGCCCATCGCCCTTTTCTGTGGTGCGTAATATTCCACTGTGAAGGTGCCTTCACTGCGTAGCTGCTCCCGGTCAATGGGCTAGCATTTAGATGGTCTTTGATCTTTTGCTCTTACAAGCAGTGCTCCCTGGATAATCTTAGATGGACATCATTTCACACGTGTGTGAGCAATTGTGAAGGGTGAATCCCTCCAAGTGGAATCGGTAGTCAGTTTGTTATCAGCCGTTGGTGGAGAGGAGGGACTTGAGATACACATATCTATAAAGTGAGCTTTTCTTTTCTTTCTTTAAGATTATGTTGGGGGGACGCCTGGGTGGCTCAGTTGGTTAAGTGTCTGGCTCTTGATTTTTGGCTCTGGTCGTGATCTCACAGTTTGTGAGTTCGAGCCGGCGTCGGGCTCTGCGCTGGCGGCGCGGAATCTGCTTGGGATTATCTCTCTCTCTCTCTGCCCCTCCCCTGCTCATACTCTCTCTCTCTCTCTCTCTCTCTCTCTTTAAAAAAAAGTTGTTGTTGTTGTTTTTTAAAGTAGGCTCCAAACCCAATATGGGGCTTGAACTCACTGCCCCAAGAGGAAGAGTCACACACTCTCCCAAGTGAGCCGGCCTGCTACCTTTATAAAGCAAGTTTTTCTTGCCTTCAGTTTTACACGATCTTAATATTTAAATTTAACTGACCCTAGTAATACATTAACCGGTTCTCCCTGTAAATTAAACAAGAAACAATCCAGAAAGGATAGACAGAAAAATGGGAAAGTCCTGCTTGAATTCCCAACCCCTCTACCACCTTCTCCTTCTTAAAAACCATTTGCCTTTTCAAAATTAACCACTGTGAGCAATTAGTGCGTACAATTCCAGACCTTTCTACCCACTTATATTTCTACTCATATACCTATTTCGGTGTATGTTTAGATAGATACGTGGATGGCTGTAAGGTGCACACAGCTGCTTACATGTCGGTGTGCAAACATAAAGAGTTATAGTAAAAGTTGCAAAACTTTTATGTGCTAAAAAAGTTGGTTAATTTGTGGGCTTGGATTCATTGTATCTGGGGTTGGGAGCTGAGATTCCCCATTTTTGACCAGCGCCCTGATAAGGCCAGGGCTCCTGAGTCAGAGTGGGATTTTTGCTTTGTCCTGTTTTGTTTTGTTTCTACATAAATGAGATCCTATCTACTGATGCAGAACTCTTTTTTTTCCCCTGGCCGGGTCATTGGGGAAGATAATGTGGGTAAGACCTTGCAAATCTAATGAGCACATATGTACATATTGATACTATAAGCTTTTGTGAAAGAAAGATAGTGTTTTTTCTTTAATGTTTATTTATCTGAGAGAGAGAGAGAGAGCATGCGTGTGCATATGGGAATGGGGGAGGGAGGGGGGGAGAGAGAGAGAGAGAGAGAGAGAGAGAGAATTCCAAGCAGACTCTGTGCTGTCCTCGTGGACCTCAGCTAGGGGCTCAAACTCCCGAACCATGAGACAATGACCTGAGCGAAGATCAAGAGTCAGAAGCTCAACCAACCGAGCCACCCAGACGCCCCATGAAAGAAAAATCACTTTAATTGATTTTCAACACAGGAAGCTTCTGAGATTTTCCCAAATGGATGAAGCTGAATTTAAAGGTTCAGTGGTGGTAATAGAAGCAGTTTTTATTTGCCAATGAAATGAAGCTAATTTAGCTATTTGCTAATCAAATGACATGAGAATTTTTTTCTGATCTGTTTGTTATCCCATCCCGGCACAGAGTGACAATGTGTCTTTTGAGAATGCAGACAGACATGAAGAGCGGAGAAGAGATTCGGGGTTCTCCACATGAATTCAAGTCGCTGGCCTGAACAAGTTTCCATTGGGCATTTTAATTAGCATAGAGAAAAACATCGCCCCGCAAAGTCCTTTCTTCAACGGATAGACTTGTAGGTCGGTTCTCATGGGTGCAAGGCAGGGGTGGGTGGTTTGAATTTGGGAAGGTCACTGGAAGGTCGCTTCAAGATGGGCTATTGTTCTAAGTCCCTTGAGCTGGAGGCCAGGGGTCCCTGAGTCTCCTGCTCACTGCTCGTGGGCTCTAGGACCAAACCTCTGAGCTACGTCATGAACCCACCCATCGTACCTCCGTTCAATATTCCCATTGTCTCTGATCTGTGTGGTGGAAGGACCTTCCTCCCTGGTCTTCCCCTCCACTCCCACTCCCTCCGGCCGGTTCTCCAACTGTAGCCAGGGTAGAGCTGACTGAACCCAGTGCAAATCCCATGAGTGCCCTATTCAGGACGGCGTGGTGTTCCCTATGGACCGTCACATGCTGGCCTCAAGGCCACCCCACATACATGAGCATCTTCCTCTCCAGGCTCCTCATACTGGACCCTCCTCCTTGCTCAGCACCCTCTGGCACCAAGGGCTTTGGTTCTTTTTGCTCACCCAGCTACCTATAAGACCATGCCAAATTTCCTCTCTTTCTGGAATGTTCTTTCTGCCCGTCTCACCCAGGGACTTCAACCTACAAGTTTCAGCTCAGAGGTCCCCTCCTCGGAGAAGCCCCCTCGCACTCACCCTACCTCCTCGCAGTAGTGCTGCGTCTTTTCTTCCTACTGGTCGTCCTGGGGTGTGATGGCATCTCTTCACATCTTTGGGAGTGACTATTTCACTGACACCCATCTTCCTGCAGTAGAGCATGGCTTCCACAGGGACGGGCACCATGTCTGCTCTTGCTTACCGTTGCGTTCCAGGGCTAACCACGGGGCTTGGTATATACTAGGTAGTCCAGTAATAATTTTGTTGTTCAAAGGAAGGAGAAGAGAGGGCTCGGGGCATGTTGGCTGTTGTTGTCGTTGTCGTTGTTGACACCATTTGGTGAGGATGTTGAGCGAGGCGGCTGATGGGGGCAGATTGGGTGGGATTGTGGCTGGACCAGAAGGTAGGATGGTAGATATTGATGACCCCTCAGAGGCTGCCTGGGGTGACTGAGTCTTGCCAGGGCTGCCATTTGACAGGGAAAAAGGAGAGCCCCTGCCTGTATGTCAAGGCAATACACTGACTCCAGCCTGCCCACCCACAAGGAAGTGAGGAAGACTCAACCAATCGGAAGTAACGAGTGTGGAGGGGTGAAAAGCACCCACCCAAGAGTCATTGGGATCATCCCTGCGGGCGATCTCCCCCAACTTACAGACCAACCCTGACCTCAGTCTGGAAAGACAGTGATAATCAGAGGTCCCACCTCAGGGGGTGTTGCCTAGATTAGATTGGTCAATGCATTGATAGCATCAGGCATTGGTAAGCAATTCAGGAAGTGGGATGTCCCATTGTGCAAGCCGGTCATGAGCCATAAAGGACAACCTAGGGAAGCAGAGTGAGAAATCAAGCAAAGCAGGACAGCAGGGAAGGTGCGTTAGTACCTGCAAGGGGAGGGGTGGGCCGAAAGGTCTGTTTCTAACTGAACCACCAGAGCACCAACGTATCCGGCCCCAAAATGTGGAGACTTGATCATTTATCCAGTGGTTCTTTTTTCCCTTATTTGTTGTGTTCGCCGCCATACTGCCCGGAACAGTGTCTGGAACAGTGCCTGGCACGGCACATGCGTCTTGCGCCCCAGGTCCTCACATGAGATCCCAGCCTGGCCAGGCACAGAGCAGGCGCTCAATAAATAGTTGTTGAGTGAATGAATCCAGATATGTAGAAACAACCAGATCTCGGAGTTAAGATTTTCTCCCAGATGTTTTGACCTCAGGTTTGAGCAGCCTCAGGCTAATTTGGTGACAGCTTCTCTGATCTTTGCGTCCCAGAAAACAAACATGATGATCACCTGCACTTTGGTGATAATATTGCTCTCCGGCCTGTCTGGAACCTTGTTTCTCTGCCTTTGCAGTCCTTACCAGAACATCTAAAAGAACTGTATTTGCTTTGCGTGCGCCACGATTGTGAAATAGGTCACGCGAGCAAGTGAGAGAGAAAGGAGAGAGAGACGATTGGCTACTGTCGTGGGATATAATTTCCACGTAGAAAAGATAATAGAAGGGCCAGCCTCCTCAATGTTTACATCCTGCTCTGACCTGCTTGCCAGCTAATTTAGTTTCACGGTGGCCCTTTACATCAAAAGCAAGGTTATGTTGGGGCGCCTGGGTGGCTTAGTCGGTTAAGCGTCCGACTTTCGCTAAGGTCATGATCTCACGGTTCGTGGGTTCGAGCCCCGCGTCGGGCTCTGTGCTGACTGCCAGCTCAGAGCCTGGAGCCTGTTTCAGTCTGTGACTCCCTCTCTCTCTGACCCTCCCCTGCTCACGCTGTCTCTCTCTAGAAATAAATAAAACATTTAAAAAAAATATATCTAAAAAAAAAACAAAACAAAAGAAAGGTTATGCCGTTTGAAAACTTTGGGACTTGCTGCCTTTGCATTCCTGCGAACATTTCTTTGTTTGCTCCTGTTTGTTTTAAATGTTTTAAAAAAAACACACACACACAACTTTTCAAATTTAATTTTTTTTAACTTTTACATTTCTATCTCCACAGAAGGTTTTGGAAAAATATTCAGGGGCGTGTGGGTGGCTCAGTCCGTTAAGTGTCCGATTCAGGCTCAGGTCATGATCTCGTGGTTCATGAGTTCAAGCCCTACATCGGGCTCTGTGCTGACAGCTCAGAGCCTGGAACCTGCTTCGGAATCTGTGTCTCCCTCTCCCTCTCTCTCTGCCCCTCCCCAGCTCACACTCTGTCTCTCTCTCTCTCCCTCAAAAATAAATATAAAAAACATTTTTTAAAAATTAAAAAAAAGAAAAATATTAAAATTGTCAAATAGGTGATACGTGCACATGATCCAAAACCTACACAGAATAGGTATCATGAAAAGATGCCCCCAGGTCTCCGCCCTTCTCCACCCCGGCCCCTCCCCCATAATCTCCATTCTGCCAGGACGTTGCCAAGCAAATGTACTTCTCGTTTCTTTGACCCTCCATAGCATACTGCACACTTCTTTCCCCCTGCAGCTTGCTTTTTTCTCTTTGTCACATTACCTTGAAGATCATTTTATATGCTTCTAGGAGCTTCCTCATTAATTTTTTTTTTCAGTGAGCTCTATGCCCAACGTGGGGTTTGAACTCACAACCCTGAGATCAAGAGTCACATGCTCCTCTGACTGAGCCAGCCAGGTGCCCTTCTTTCTTTCTTTCTTTCTTCCTTCCTTCCTTCCTTCCTTAAATGAAGTGAGGTTGACTCTGCTTCCTCTTTCTCTGAAACAACCACATCATATTCCATTGCATGAATGGACCATAAACTCCAGTCCTCTGTGGATGAATATGTGTGGTTCTTCCTATCTTTTGCTATTTAGCTGCAGGTAATCTGAAGCTCCCAAGATGTCTTAGATATGTACGCAGGCATATTCCACAACCTCTTTGTGTTTGATTAAACGATACATGTTTGTTATTTTAAAAACTTCCAGCAATACTGATGTATATAAAGTAAAATTCTCAACTTAAGGTACAATAATTACTCAGCCCTACTTCTTACACACTGGAGTTATTTTTTTTAATGTTTTTTATTTATTTCTAGGAGAGAGAGAGAGAGAGACAGCGTGAGCAGGGGAGAGTCAGAGAGAGAGGGAGTCACAGACTGAAACAGGCTCCATTATTTATTTTTTAATATTTATTTATTTATTTTGAGAGAGAGAGTCCAAATGGGGGAGGAACAGAAAGAGGGAGACAGAGAATCCCAGGCAGGCTTGGCACTGTCATCGTAGAGCTCAACATGGGGCTCAGTCGACTAACTGGAAGATCACGACCTGAACGGAAATCAAGGGTCGCGTGCTCAACCAACTGAACCACCCAGGTGCCCCTGAAACTGACTTCTTAAATGTAATAATATGATTAGGCATTTTTCCCTATTGTTACTTATAGTTTTAACCCTTTCTTTTAAATAAAATTTTTTACTTAATGTTTATTTATTTCGTGAGAGAGAGAGAGACAGAGTGCGAGTAGGGGAGGGTCAGAGAGAGGGAGACACAGAATCCGAAGCAGGTTCAAGGCTCTGAGCTGTCAGCACAGAGCCCGACATGAGGCTCGAACCCCCAAACCATGGGATCATGACCTGAGGTGAAGTAAGACACTCAACCAACTGAGCCACCCAGGCACCCCTTAACCCTTTCTTTTAAATTTGTTTTTATTTTTTTTTAATGCTTTATTTATTTCTAGGAGAGAGAGAGGGGGAGAGACAGCATGAGCAGGGGAGGGTCAGAGAGAGAGGGAGTCACAGACTGAAACAGGCTCCAGGCTCTGAGCTGGCAGTCAGCACAGAGCCCGACACGGGGCTCGAACCCACCAACCGCGAAATCATGACCTAAGCGAAAGTCGGACGCTTAACCGACTAAGCCACCCAGGCGCCCCAAAAATTGGTTTTATTTTTAAGAGCTGTATAGTGTTCCAGAATATGACCAAAACACACTGTCCTTAACCATTCTTCTATTGATCTGGTCAAAGCTTTCAAATAATTTATTTCATAAGGAATAACATTTACAGCACATTACAAAAGATAAATACAATATGACAAAGGAGGAATTCCATGCAGCAATCATGAGGAAGGAGTCCCATTTAGTATCATCAATACATCAGGAAATTAGGATTGTAACACCTTAATCAAGGGGTCAAGGTTAACATCACTGATAAGACACATGGACAACAGGAAGCCCTGAATAAGATGCACTGGAAAGGGCATATACCTTCTATAGTGTTTTTGCCAAAAATGCATAACCTCTTTCAAACCATGAGACATCAGATAATCTCCACCTAAGGGGCATTTTACAAAATAAGTGAGGAGTATTTGAGTCTCAAAGTCATGGAAAACAAGGAAGGATCAAGGAGCTGTCACAGGTACGATGTGGGATCCCATCTTGGATCCTGAAATAGAAAGTGGAGGAAAACCTCTGTGGGAAAACTGTTGAAATTGGAATAAAATCTGTAGTTTAGTTAATATCATTGTATCAGTGTTGATAGTAATGTGCCAGTGTTAATTTCCTGATGTTGGTCATTATAGTATCCCCATGTAAGATCGTGGTTCCTGGGTGGCTCAATCCGTTGAGCATCCAACTCTCGATTTCGGCTCAGGTCATGATCTAAAGGTCATGAGATCAAGCCTTGTGTTGGGCTCTGTGCTGAGTATGGAGCCTGTTTATTATTCTCTCCCCTTCCCTCTCCCCCTCTCCCCGTCTCTCCCACTGTCTCCTTCTGCTTCTCCCCTGCTTGCTCTTTCTAAAAAAAAGAAAAACTTTTTTTTCAAAGATGTTAACATAGGGGAAAGTGATGAAAGGTATGAAGGAATCTCTGTAGATGCACCTGGCTGGCCCAGTCATTGGAGTGTGCAACTCTTTTTTTTTTTTTTTTTAATATTTTCTTTTTTTTGACACACACACACACACACACACACACACACACACAGTGTGAGCAGGGCAGAGGCAGAGAGAGGGAGACACAGAATCTGAAGCAGGATCCAGGCTCTGAGCTGTCAGCACAGAGCCCGATGCGGGGCTCAAACCCACCAACTGTGAGATCATGACCTGAGCTGAAGTCGGATGCTTAACGGACTGAGCCCCCCAGACACCCCCACCCCACCAAGAGCACCCTCCTCATGACTCCACCTCTAAGCATTTCAAACTAGACTGACTAGGAATCCGAAGCATTGAACGTTAGGAGACAGAAAAAGTAGGCTTCGTTTCAGAGATTGTTCAAGAATCTGCCGGTGGCGGGGCTGCTTGCGGCTTTCCCTCTCTGCCTTCCCTGGAGAAAGAACTGGAAAGTGAGGTTTCTACGGGCTGTGCTGATTGCCTAAGGGCCGTTGGGCCAGGGCAGCCCTCGGTCATTCATTCTCCCCCTTTCAGCCTGTTCCTGTGTTTATACTACCTTGTTTAGCTTAATGCACATCCCAAGATTACCCCTAATACACATCCTCCGATATGTTTATGGAAATTCTTTATAAGCAAACGGCTTTATTTCCCTTGAGTAGCTGCAGATACAAAGCAGGGGTCACTTTTTTTTTTTTTTTTATTGACAGACTTAAACACCTCACGATGCCCCCACCCGGGGTGGGTCTGTTCCCCCAGCCCACCCACGCTCACACCGTGGGACTCCGCAGTATGACAAGCTGAAGCCTGCCCACTCTGGGTACGTCCCCAGTTCCCAGCCCTTAGCCATCCTCCCAAAGCAGGATCTTGGTGGCTCTTGTACACATCTGGCTCTTTCCTCTGCTGGTGGTTTTGTACGGGTGGGGGGGGGGGAGGAGAGGGAGGAGAGAAGCTCCTATTAGTCTGCATCTGTTTCTCCCCTTCCCCACCCCGCCCCTTCCCACACAGAGCTCCTCGATGCCTGTTAGTGCCAGGCACTGTTCTAGGCCCCACAGATTCAGCCGAGAGCGAGGCGGCTCTTGGCTCTCAGAGAGCGAGACCGCGTTCCGATGGCTTGTGCAGGGGGGAAACGCACCAGTGCGTTCACCTGACGCCTGCGGAGGGTGGGAAGCACTGTGAGGACAGTGATGGAAAAGGAGGCAGTCAAGAGCCGAGGGAGCAGCGGAGCGAAGCTACCCAGGAAAGGGTGGCCACGGACGAAGTCTACGAGGAGGTAGCGTTCATGCAGACACCTGCGTGAAGCGGGGAGAAAGCCAGAGTTCTGGGAAGGGCGTTCCGCGTGAAGGGGCAGTAAGTGCAAAGGCCCTGGTGCTGCAGTCACTCGATATATGGGGCAAAGAGCAAGAAGGCACATGGGCCCGGAATGCAGTGATCAGGGAGGAGAGTAGGAAGTGACGCTGGAGCGGCAGACAGAGACCAGTTGATTAGGGCCTTCAGAAGCTAAGCAGGGGCGTGAGGACTTTGTTCTATTTTCTTTTCTTTTTTCTCTTCTTTTTCTTTTCTTCTTTCCTTTTCTCTTTTTCTTTCTCTTCCTTTCTCCCTTCTTTCTCTCTCTTTCTCCTTTCCTTCCTTCTTCCTTCCTTCCAGTAGATTTTGTTCTAATGTTAATGGAAAGCTACCAGGAGCTTTAAGCAGGGAAAGATGATGTGACTCCCCTGCTCACGCTGTCTCTCTCTCTCTCTCTCTCCTAGAAATAAATAAAAATATTTATAAAAAAAAAAAATCTCATGGGGCGCCTGAGTGGCTCAGTTGGTTAAGCATCCAACTTCGCCTCAAGTTATGATCTTGCAGTTCATGGGTTTGAACCCTGCATCGGGCTCTGTGCTGACAGCTTGGAGCCTGGAGCCTGCTTGGCATTCTGTGTCTCCCTCTCTCTCTGCCCCTCCCCCACTTGCACTCTGTCTCTGTCTCTCTCTCAAAAATAAATAAACATTCAAAGATTTTTTTAAAAAAAGATCCCTGTAGCTTGTATGCAGAGGATGATTGGTATGGGAGAGAGTGAAATAGTTATTTTAGGAGGCCACTGTTTGCTCAGAGATTGTTCAGGAGGGGATGGTGATATAGCTCCTTCTGACATCTAACTCGGGGAGGACATAGAGTGTCCTAGGATAGAGAGCAGTCAGGCTCACTGATGGCATGAGACGGAGCTGATAGAAAGGAGGAATTGTGGGAGCGCCTGGGTGGCTCAGTTGGTTAAGCATCCGACTTTGGCTCAGGTCATGATCTCACAGTTCGTGGGTTCGAGCCCCGCGTTGGGCTCTATGCTGACAGCTCAGAGCATGGAGCCTGTTTCAGTCTGTGACTCCCTCTCTCTCTGACCCTCCCCTGTTCATGCTGTCTCTCTCTCTCAGAAATAAATAAAAAATATTAAAAAAAAAAAAAAAAGAAAGGAGGAATTGTGGATGATTGAGTAATGAGGGGGGGCATTTTCATAGATGGGTAAGATCAGAAAAGCAGCCAACTGAGTAGGGAGAGACACCTGTAGACATCCAAAGGAACATGGCACCCAGAAGTCTAACATTTGAGCGTTAGTAATAAAAGGGCCCCAATGTATGCATCCTCTGTCACGGGCCAGGCACTTTGGAAGCAATCTCGCACACTCTGTTTCGTGGCATCCTGGCCAGCATCCTGAGAAGTAACGTGGGAAGATGATGTCCATTTTTTAGATGAGGAACTAGAGACACTGGACAGTTTAAATAATTGGATTTGAACTCCTATCCATCGGACTCTGTTGTGGGTTAAAGTGTCTCCCCTCAAAAGACATACACTGGAGTCCTTTCTCCAGGATCTCAGAATGTGCCCCTGTTTGGAAATAAGGTATTTCCAGAGTTAATCAAGTTAAAACGAGGTCATTACGGTGGTGGGCCCTACTCCAATATGGCTGATGGCATTTTGGAGAAATGTAGACACTGAGACAGACCTGATGGAGGGAAGACTGTATGAAGAGACGTGGGGAGAAGACAGGCATCTAGAAGTCAAGGAGAGAGGTCTGGAACAGGTCCCTGCTTTGCAAACCCCTCCTCCCCGGGAAGGAACCAGCCCTGCTGAAGCCTTGACCTTGGACTTTCCTGGGCTCCACAACTATGAGTCAATTCATTTCCATGGCTTAAGCCACCCAGTCTGTTATAGCAGAATATTAATTAATTAAATTAATATTAATTTTGAAAATCTCCGCCTTCAATTACACATACTAGCAAACTCTAGTGCCAGACCCCTAACACCCCTACTTCGCTGCTAAGTCATGTTATGGTCTCTTATTGAACTCTCCATCTTCTCTGCTAAAATAGGTGTTTTCTGGACAGCTGGAATCATGAACAGCTTGCAACTCTAGTACCTGATGTGTAAAAGGCACGTAATCAATACCAAATATTTGGTATTTGGCTCCAGTTTTGAGGCTGACTTCTAAATGGCAAGGATTGCCTTCCACCGGGACAGGGAAGCCATCATGATATAAAGGCTCAAAGCTCCCGCAAGATGTTGATTTCTAACCATCATATGATAGTTACAAGCGGGTCCATTCAGGGTGCCCACTAGAGTAAGAAGGCTTATCCAAGTGAGGAGGGCTAGCTGAGGAGGGGGTCATAAAGGGGGTGGAGAACCCAGCAGTACCCTCGGGCTACCAACAGGAAGGGGCCCTTGCCTCCTCCAGGGCCTGAAAAGGCAGCAGGAAGTGACCTTGCCAGAGCTGTAGGAGAGGGCCGTCCCATAGGAGCTGTGGCTTCAGTAGAGACGCACAGCCATGGCTACGCCCAGCAGGCCAAGGAGGCAACCCCTCATCTTTACTCTCCCTCAGACTCCCGTCTCCAGCCCCTGCTCCCTCTTGGCTAAAGGCAGCAAAAAGCACGGTGTCACAGGAGCCAGTAAGTGCAGTCCCCACGGGTCCTGGGCACAGAGCAGGACGGAGAACGCGGAGAACGGATCGGCAAGGGCAAATGGAATATTCTACACACTCAAGACGTCCAAGCAGCTCACACCGGGTGCATCGACAGACCCCGTTTCTTGAACAGCGTCCAATCCCTGCTGGTTATTTATGTCACTACCCTTTCGCAAGAACCACATAAAATATTTTACATGCTTTTAAAACTCATAAATGTAATGAAGCCAAGATGTTTCAGCAAATGTGCTTGACAGACAAATCCTGCCGAAGATCCGCTCTTAGCTGATGTCAGGACCAAAGGCAATCTCCTGACCTGCGGGAACATTTGACATGGAAACCAATAAATTCATCCCCTGCCCGCATGGATGTCAGGCTGTCACTGCATCTTGAGAATGTATCTGTTCCTTGTTCGCTTCCTGCCGTCCCTGCCTTGCAAGTATTTACTGCTCTTTCAACACTGAACTTGGCCAGTTGGAAATGTATCAGTTTGCAAATGCATCAGTTTGCAAATGCAAAGAGAGATCCCTGCGCTTCGTCCGGGCGTTAATGTGCACAGCCTCCAACACGAGCTGCCTGAGATTAATAAAAATGCGTGTGCCCCAAACTTGGATTCATCATTTCGGGGGGCTCAGCATAAAAATCAGTAACAGTTTAACACAAAGTCTAGTGTATGAAAATAGCTTGTTTGAGTTTGAGTAATTCATCATGGGTCAAGGATGGTTCCAGCCTGTTCCATGTAGTAATTACATCCATCTCCCTAGTGGATGTAAAATGTGAGGGCTATTATTCCCATTTTGCAGATGGGTAAGTGCGGACCAGGGGCAGCTGAATCAACTTGCCAGGGGCCGTATAGCTGAAAGATAGCGCGCCAGGAGTCAAATGTAGATAGTCTGATTCCAGAAGACATTTCATTTACTTTTTTTTTTTTTAACTTTATGCTTTATTTTTGAGAGAGAGAGAGACAGAGCACGAGTGGTGGAGGAACGAACAGAGAGAGGGAGACACAGAATCCAAAAACAGGTTCCAGACTCTGAGCTGTTAGCACAGAGCCCGACGCAGAGCTCGAACTCCTGAACCGTGAGATCAGGACCTGAGCTGAAGTCGGACGCTTAACCGACTGAGCCACCCGGGCGCCCCCCCAGAAGACATTTTTAACCTCTACGTAGTGTCCACTTTTATAAACGAAGGATATTTTGGGAAAAACAGTGTAGGGCAGTAGCATATGAAGATGGCATGGGTTTAAGGTTCAATAAACGGGTATTGTTGGTATATTTGGAACCTCAGTTTTTAGATCTGGAGCTCAGGCTGAGCCCCACTTCTGATCATGAGCATACCCAAAGGCACACAGGACACTAGGGATACAAGACGGGGTCAAATGAATGTGACCCCTACTCAGCTGACACCGACAGTCTAGAGAAGGAGAGAGATCATAGTCAAGTAAAGTCACACATAAAGCAAAATTGTAACCGTGATCAGTGCTAGTGGAGAGGTGTCCGGCCAAGGGCCGTGAGTGAAGGGGCCTATTCTAGTCAGGGATGAGGGGGAGACAAGACTGAGTTAGGGCTCACGTTTGAGTCATTAACAAGATTAGGGAAGGCACAGTGTGCAGGCAGAGAGGTACAAAGGCACTGTGGTCATGGAGAAGTTCTGAAAAGAAGCTTGGAAGCTTGGAGGCTGAAAGTGAGGAGGTCCAGAAGATTTGATAAGAGCTGTGACTTCTTTCCCTGGGAAAAGCATATGCAGGCATGCACAGGATTTTTTATACAGTGGCAAAGGGTTCACGGCCCCATCGCTCAGACCTTAGACAGCGGTTCAAAATAGTTGTCTTAGGGGGGGCCTGGGGGGCTTAGTCGGATCAGCGCCCGCCTCCTGGTTTCGGTTCAGGTCATGATCTAACAGATCCATGATTTTGAGCCTCTCTATGGGCTCCGCGCTGACAATGCAGAGCCTGCTTGGGATTGTGTCTCTGCTCCTTCCGAGCTCTCTCTCTCTCAAAAAAAAAAAAAAAAAAAAGAATATTCATTTTAAAAATTCCTGCCTTAGAGAAGAACTTCATTTACAAGTACAAAGGGCTCAAAAACTTTGACCTAGAAACTAGCATTTGTATCACAATAACTGGTGATATTAAGTCACCTGATAAATTAAGCAACAACCCTCCGTGCCTCCAGTTTAGATTTTTTTTTCCAGCCACACCCATCCGACCTCAAGCACCAACACTAAAGGAACAAAAGAATAGAGGAAAGTGGGGAGGAGGCAGAATGACGCTGAGGATATTGGAATATAAGCATATCACAGGAGATCACAGAGTCCTAACACCCTGCAAAGAGACTTTTCCCCAAGCCGCCGGGACACACCTAAAACCCACCCTGGGATGCTTTCTGTTTCATTTTCCAGCTCAGAAACTTGAGTCATTCTAGGCAACCGGCTTTAAGATCATGCCATAAAGCAAAGGCATAAAGCAAAGGGGGTACTTCCTGCTGTTGATGGCCCGGCTGTGGAATGTGGCAGGTCCGGGTTCAAATGCACACTCCCCGGAACCTGGGAAGGTCACCTGACCTCTCTGGGCCTTTGTTTTCCCATCCGTAAAACGGGTAGAAGAGTAGGTACTTCTCACTCGCTTCTTCCTCCCATCTTGCTTACTCTGGGATTTTTCTCACATTTCTGCCAAACCAGCCACGTGCTGGGTCTCACCCCTCCTTGTGAACAGCACTCTTGTCAAAATGGCTGACAAATTCCGTTGCCCCAAACCCGGAAGCACAACCACAGATTAAACCACCATCCGCTTTCTCTGTCCCTAGTGCCTTAGGTCCTCAAATCCCTGAACAGCTCCCCTTCCCCACCCAGCACTCCGAGGAACACAGAAGGGAACCCCCCACGTGCCCAACCAAATGTATAAACCCGCTTGTTCCTGGATCCACTCATTCAGCCACAAAACGTTCGCAGGCGTCTGTTGTCTGCCCTGCACTAGACCAGGATGGGGGGATCCGGTACATTCCAACGAGGAGAAGATGGATAACGAATAAGTAAGTGGAAAACACTTAAGACCGTGCAGGATGGGGCCGTGCAGAGAAACTCAAGCGGGACCAGGGACAGGAAGTCTCCGATCATGAGGACCTTGAAGGATGCTGTTGCCCAATGGCGTGGTCAGGGAAGGTTCTGGAGAAGGGACGTGAGTGCAGAGACTGAAGCGAGGGACAAGGCCCCTTGGGTCTCTGCAGCCGGTGTTTCTAGCGGAGGCAAAAGTAAGGGAAAGGCAGAAGCCTGACTGAAGGACTCGGGCAAGAACAAGAGGGCAGGGCAGGGGGGCCCCCGAGCAGAGACGGACCCCCTGGAGGGGACTTCCTGCCTTGGAAGGTCTCTGGCTTTGCCCGTCTCCTAGCTTCTTTCCTCCTGTTGAAGGATGAAGAAACCCCGATCTTGGGTTTCCATTTAGGATGTTGGGAGGGGAGCACAGAGCCCCTCTGCGAACATAAGGAAAGCCGTGAGCCTTCTCCTCAGGAAAACGCCCCAAATTCGGCAGGCAGCGCCAGATAACACCAGCACCCGGGGAACTGGTGGATCCCGAAGCTAAGATGAGGAGCCCCAGAGTTCACGTCTCATTTACACAGGTGATGAACGTGTCCAAAAATCTTGACCGCCATGTTGGAATAACAAAGAGGCAGATCTTCTGTTTTCTCAACAACTGAGCCATTCATCTCAATGTGGATTATTCTCCTATAAGCAGTGAGATCTTGGGGCCCCCCTACAACTAGGAAGGATGGCATCGAGGGAAGGAGTATCAAAGGAGTATAAATAACCAAAGCAAGGCCACTCCCCCTCTCGCCTGCCTGAGTGCAGTGTAGACCAGTGCTATCACTGAGTGAGCACACCCCATCCCCTGAAGTACAAGCATAATCTCATTTAACCCTGACAAGATCCCTGTGAAGCAAGAACGCTGTTCCTCCCACTTCACAGATGTAGAAACTGAGGCTCGGAGAGGTGCCGCCCACTGCCCAGCTGGCAAATGGTGGAGCCTCTGACCCCAAACTGCCTGATTCCAGAGTCTGACTTTCTCCAAGGCTGAGCCAGGGTCTTGCAACCTTCTCCCGCGTTGACCTTCCGGAACTTCCTCATTTCTGATCTTCAAGCTCCTCAAGCTCCTTCCTGCCTTGGGGCCCTTCCTGTTTCCAAGAACATTCTTCCCTCAGCTCTGAGTGGTCACCCACGAACATCCCAGCTCAGGTGGCCTCCACCTCTGATTATCTTATCCCGTTGATTCCCTTCCTGACTGAGAGAACAAATCTGGACTTCCTCTGTGCATAATTTACTTGTTCATTGTCTGTCGTCCCCTCTGGGCCATGAGCTCCAAGTGGCCGGACTTCTTTTGCTGAGTCGTGGGCTCTAGAATCTCGCCTGCCCCGGGAGTTGTACAAGGAAGCAAACAGATGACTGGCGGTCAGACAAGCTGACCCAAAGCCTGCCTTTGCTGCTTCTGAGGTGTGTGCCCTGGGACAGGCCACAGACTTCCCCATCCTTGGTTTCTGCATCTGTAAAATGGAAGTAACAATATCTGTTTCTCAGAATTGTGAGGACAATCACATACGGGCACGTTGCCTTCAGTTTGGTTGGAACCAGTGAATACTGGTCTTTCCTGATAAACTCTTCTCGTGGGACCAGCCCTCCAGAACCTTCTACACCTCCCAGCCACACCCAGTTCTTTTATATTCCTTATAAAAATATCCCAGAAGTATACAGGGCTTTCTGCGGAGCTGCGGCATTTTCTATCAGGGGTCAGATATGAAGGACAATGGTGGATTTGTTCAGATTCAGTTAGCGCCGTGTGGGTTTATGCTGAACGAATCAGCCCGTTTCTGAAACTGAATTCACTGTGTCTGACTCACCCTTTCTCGATAGGCTGTCTGTCCTGGTGAAAGATGCTATCAGTTTCAACCACCCCCACGCCTACCCCCCCCCCCCACCGCCTCCCGCCCACCAATTCATTCGAAAGCTAAAATTTATCTAATACCTTTTGGACAACACCACAGGGCTGGACTGACAGCCAAATTGTTAAGTTCCTATGAATTAGGAACTTCTTGATCATCATGAAGTCAATAATAACAACCAACATTGAGGGGCACCTGGCTGGCTCAGTAGGTAGAATGCGCAGCTCTTAATCTCAGGGTTGTGAGTTCAAGCCCTATGGTCGGCATTCAGTGTGGAGCCTATTTAAAAAAGAAAAATAAATTTAAAAATTAAAAAAAAATCTGACACTTACTGAGCATTTCCTCTGCTGAGAGAAATTTGAATATAGTCCAGAGGTTAGAAAACTTTTCCTGTAAAGAACCAGATGAAACCTTTTAGGTTTGCAGTCCAAGAGACAAAACTGAGGGTATTAAGTAGATCCTTACACGACAGGGGAAAAAAAAGATTTTCACAAATTTTCTTTTTTTAATTATTTATTATAATTTTTAATTTATTTTTATTTTTATTTTTGAGAGAGAGATAGAAACAGCATAGCAGGAGAGGGTCAGAGAGAGAGGGAGACACAGAATCTGAAACAGGCTCCAGGCTCTGAGCTGTCAGCACAGAGCCCGACGCGGGGCTCGAACCCACGAACTGTGAGATCATGACCCGAGCCGAAGTCGGACACTCAACCGACTGAGCCACCCAGGCGCCCCAATTTATTATAATTTTTTTAATGTTTATTATTTATTTTTGAGAAAGAAACAGAGTGAGAGTGAGGTGGGGGGTTGGGGGTCAGAAAAGCAGAGACACAGAATCGGAAACAGGCTCCAGGCTCAGAGCTGACAGCACAGAGCCCAACGTGAGGCTCAAGCTCAAGAATCTCGTGAGATCATGACCCGAGCCAAAGTTGGACGCTTAACTGACTGAGCCACCCAGGCGCCTCTTGATTTTCATAAATTTTTAATGGATGAAATACAAAATATAGTAATAATTGATTATAATTTGTTCTAATACAGATCTTCAATGAAAAGAATGGAACTCTTTGGGAAGATAATGTTTTGTTGGATTGGGGTTCAAATGCTCCTCGTCATCAAATAGACGGTGGATGTGCATCTGTAAAGACTGTTCTTAGCTTGCGGGTCATGCAGAATTAATTGGCAGGTGGACTTGGCCTTCAGGCCTCTCGATCCCTGGTATGGTCCCGAGGAAGTTGCTTAGTTCTGAATGTTGGCCTAAGACTGTAAGACCTTGGGCTCCTCACTTACTTTTCTCCTATCAACGTCCTCACCTGGAAAATGATTATGAGAAGAGTAATAATAATTACCCCCCAGGATAAATGATTAAATACATACACAGTGGTTCAAAAAATGTCTGACCCCAAGTGACTAATTCCACAAATCTAGTTACTTCTCTGACCCAATCTCCACCCAGTCCCCAAGCCCCCAACCTTTCCCCAGTGTCTTCTGGTCGTTCATGGCAAAAGCTCCCTTATGCTCACCCTTTCCTCTGAGTGTCCCCCCTTCTTTTCGTTCTAAGTGACTCTTGGTTCTCCCCTGGGGACACTCCCCTGGGGACACAGCTCTCTCAAATGGTGGTTAATTCCTCTGTCACCACCATCCACCATCCCAGAGTTAGGTTACGTGAGCTCCTTGCTTATTCCCTCAATTATCCCTTTTTTCTCCTTCAAACTCTTTACCCCATCGGGGCCCAGAATTCAGATATCCCGATCCACACCCCTCCCCCCTACATCTTCTATAGACCCCTGAGATCCTGCCCCTCAGTTTTTAAAGACTTCGTTACCTGACTCTGCAGCTCGCTCACCTGTAATGGTCCTTGAGGTTGTCTATACCCATGACGAGGCTCCTTTTCACGGCCTGGGTGCCCAGTTCCGAGGCGGCCTCTTCAGTAGGGAGCTTGGCACACACTCTCGTGCTCATACTCTCCTCATTTCCAATAATGGCCTCCAGCACCCCGATTTCAAACATCTCTCCCTTCAACCTCGCCCAGGTATCTTTCTAGCTCAGTCCCTTTGGGATCCCAAGCCCACCGGTTCCTTATCCTTCCCGTAGCTTCTGCGTTTGCTGACCCTCACTGTTACACTCCTCACCCATTCCCACCCTGCCAGCCGTGGGTGCTATTCTATCCGACGCTCACCCTGAATGCCCTTGCCCTTTCTCCGCCGGCTTACCCCACTGCGGGTTAGATCCGACTCGGCTCGTTCTGCACCTTCATGGAAACAGATGAAGAAGCAGGGAAGAAACACGCAACCCGGAGAATTTGTCTTCAAATGTATCACCGCCCACGTGGGCCCAGCCCCTCCCTGCGTTTCCCTCTTGCATTCACATTCCCTGCCTCCTGGAAGACTGGTTCCCCCTTCCGTTCTCAACAACTCTCCTTCCTTCCTCTCCTTTCTTTCTTTCTTCCTTCCTCTCTCTCTCTTTCTCTCTCTCCCTTCCTCCCTCCCTCTCTCTCTCTCTCTTCCTTATTGTGAGCCATAGAGGGAGAGAGTGAGAATCTTAAGCAGGCTCCATGCTCAGCGCAGAGCCTGACATGGGGCTCGATCTCACAACCCTGGGATCACGACGTGAGCTGAAATCAAGAGTTGGTAGCTCAACCGACTGAGCCCCGCAGGCGTCCCTTACTCTTATTTTTAACTTCAGTGACCTGATGGATGTAATTAGTGGAAGACTTCCCATGCCCCCAAGTAAGTCAACCTCCCTTCCCTGATGTGCACCCAAATATTTCCCTTCCGTGCTGTTGTGGACGGAATGCACGTTACCGTATCTCGTGAGCCAGCACCCCACCCCTTCCTGTCTTCTTGAGATCCTCGCTGTGTACTGGATCCCTTCCCTTGGATCCTTCCTGACATCGTCCAACACCTGCTGTAGTATCTCCCTCGAACTTAAATTCCCCCTGAAGCTCTCCTTCCCATCCCACTCCAGCCCCTTACCCCCACTCCCCACGAAACCTCTTCAGAAGAATGGACCCTGCTCACCACCACTTCCTATCCCCCTCAACCCTCCCTATGTCCCTATGCCCTGCAGCTCCACTGGAGTCTCTGTTTTCTTCCTTTTTAAAAAAAATATTTATTTTTGGGAGAGAGAGAGATAGAGTGCAAGCAGGGGAGGGGCAGAGAGAGAGGAGACACAGAATCTGAAGCAGGCTCCAGGCTCTGAGCTGTCAGCACAGAGCCTGATGTGGGGCTTGAACCCACAAGCCTATGAGATCATGACCTGAGCCGAAGTCGGACACCCAGCCTACTGATCCACCCAGGCGCCCTTTCTTTTTTTTTTTTTAAAGTTATTTATTTATTTTGAGAGAGAAAGAGAGAGAGCTCACGAGGGAGGGGCAGAGAGAGAGAGAGAGAGGGAGAATCTCAAGCTGGCTCCACACTGTCCTTGCAGAGCCCGACGCGGGGCTTGATCCTGTGAACCGTGAGATCACGACCTGAGCTGAAATCAAGAGTCGGACGCTTAACTGACTGAGCCCCCACGGGCGGCCCGTCCACGGAGTCTCTCTTGATGACTGGCCGTCTTTCTGTTGCCCCAACTCAGTGGTCAGCCCAGGGCTCGTCTGCCTTGAAACAGACAGTGGGTCGGTCCCTCCCTTGGAAAGCACGTTCCTTCCTCGGCTCCTGGACGGCTGGCCCTTCGTCCTTCTGAGTCACGGGCTGCTCCTTCCCAGGCACCTCTGCACGGTCCTTCGGCTTCCCTCCTTGCGAGTCCGGAGCTCCCCAGGCCTCGCCCCTGCACTTGTTTCTCCCTTATCTCCCTTCCTCAGAAGATCCCAACCAGTCCTGCGGCTTCAAATACCGTCTCGTGCCGTCGTCACCGGACTCCTGGGCTTCACCCCTGAACTCCAGACTGGCCTGTCCACCTCTGATAGGGCTTTTCCACTTGAATGTCGAGTTGGCATCTCAGACGTTAAGTCCCAAACGAGCGAGGTCTCTCATTCCAGGCATCCTCTCTCCCCGGCTAGGAAATCAGCTTCTCCCACAGCCTTCCCTGTTTGTGCACACGGCACTTCCAACCTGCCAGGTGCTCAGCGCAGAGCCCTAGGAGTCACCCTTGACCTCCCCGTCTCCTAGCAAGCGCTGTCAGCCTCACGATCGCGCTGCATCCCTCGGCGGCCCAAGTGCTTCGCCCCCGGCCACCACCTCTGCCTTGATCCCAGCCTCCATCCCGTCCCTCTGGACGGCTGGCGTCCTCCCCGCCCTTCCCCCATCCACCCCCACCCCCCGCCCCGCATGCCACTGTCTACCCTGGCATTCAGAGTTCTCCTCAATCTAAGGAGAACGTGTGATTCCTCTGCTCTAAACCCTCCAGCAACTTTTCAACTCGGTAGGAAAAAAAAAAAAAAAAGCAATGTTTTTTCAAACCGAGAAACAAATGAGGGGGAGGGTCGGGCTGCTGGGACTTAGCATTAAGTCATTAAGATGAAGCCTAGTAACTATTTCGAGGCTTAGCTGTTTTTGGTGCAGGACAATTAAGACTCCCTGAAGCATTCGATTCGTCTCTGCTTCACATCTCTGAAACGTGCTGGTAGTCCGGCTACTTGGGGGTGTCTGTCTGGTAAGGTGCCGTGTGCGAAGGCCCCTGGAGAGGGACGGCAGCTTTGCTTAGGGAGGAATATGCGTGTGTAAAACCTGCCAAAAGGTGCTCAGTATAACTAATCACTAATCACTCGGGGGCTGCAAATCCAAACCACAGTGAGACACTGCCTCACACCTGTTAGACGGTTGCTGTAAACAAACAAACAAGCAAAAATGCAAAAGAGGGGTGCGGGGCTGGCTCAGAAGAGCATGCGACTCTTGATCTCAGGGTTGCAGGTTTGAGCCCCACGTTGGGTGTGGAGATGACTTAACACACACACACACACACACACTCACACACACACGCACACACAGTAACAGATGTTGGTGAGGATGCAGAGAAATTGGAACCCCCGTGCTCTGTTAGTGGAGGGAGGGGCGCTTGGAGAGTTATTATCTAATGGGAATAGAGTTTCCTGGAGTTTCAGTTACTCGAGATGGAAATAGTTTGGAAGATGGCACAACAGTGCAAATGTTCTTGATGCCACTAACCTGTGCAATTAAAAAGGATTAAGATAGGGGCTCAGTCGGTTGAGTGTCCGACTTCGACTCAAGTCATGATCTCATGGTTCGTGAGTTCGAGCCACACATCAGGCTCTGTGCTGATAGCTTGGAGCCTGGAGCCTGCTTCGGGCTCTGTGTCTCCCTCGCTCTCTGTACCCCCCCCCCAACCCCCACTCACATTGTCTCTATCTCTCATAAATAAGTAAACCTAAAAAAACTAAAAATAAATAAAATAAAACAGATTAAGATATTGAATTCTATGTCATATCTATTTCGCCACAATTATTCTTCATTGGGGAAAAAAACACAAAAAAACCTAGATTACTAAAGCCATGCAACTCCACCTCCATGACCTCTCGCTTACTCTACTCCAGCTCCACTGGTCTTTTTAAGGTTCTTCAAACACGTCAAACATGTTCCTGCCTCAGGGCCTTTGCACTGTCTGTTGCCTCTGCCTGGAATGCTCTTCCCATAGTTATCTGCATGGCTCACCTCCTTCATGTCTCTGCTCACATGTCTTCTTATCAGTGAGTCCTTTCCTGATCACCCTACGAAAAAGCATCCACTGACGTTCTCTATCCCTTTAGCTTGCTTTAACTCTTTTGGTAGCTCTTGCTTTTGACATATATTAAAGGTATTTGCTTATGCAATGGTGAATGTGATGACCACAGCCCCTGTCATGTCATGTCTAGTCTGGAAGGGGATGTGTCCTTATTTATGCCTTTCATGACTTCAACTCACCCCCAGCCCCATTCTAGGTAGAGTCCGTGTATCATAGATCACAATTTTTAAAAGATGTTTATTTATTATTTATTTTGAACGAGTGGTGGAGAGGCAGAGAGAGGGAGGGAGAGAGAATCCGAAGCAGGCTCTGCGCTATCAGCACAGAGCCCAACATGGGGCTCAATCTCATGAACTGTGAGAGATCTTGACCTGAGCTGAAATTATCAAGAGTCAGACATTTAACCGACTGCCACCCAGGTACCCCTGCATGGGGCACCATTTTTGCATGAGCCCATAATGTTGATGTTAAGCTTTCACACAGATTAGATTGGGACTCTTTGAATTTTTCACCTCTAAAATTCTCAACACCTAGCTCAAGTCCTGGCATACAGCGGACAAAAAGGATTACTCATTAAATGAGTGAATGAATGGGGGCGCCTGAGTGGCTCAGTCGGTTGGGTGTCTGACTTCTGCTCAGGTCATGATCTTGCGGTTGGTTCATGGGTTCGAGCCCCACATTGGGTTCTGTGCTGACTGCCAGCTCAGAGCCTGGAGCCTGTTTCAGATTCACTCTCTCTCTCTCTCTCTCTCTGCCCCTCCCCCGCTCATGCTCTGTCTCTCTCTCTCTCAAAACATAAATAAACTATTAAAAATTAAAAAAAAAAAAAGAATGGATGAATGACCTGGGAAATCAAATAATTCTGATCCCCAAACTATCACATCTAATGTGGGTCAACTTAATATTATGAGAATCCTCAGATAAATACTCCTGCCATAGAGCCTGAAAAAAAGTGTATAAGGATAGATGTTCCCTGAACACTGTTCCATACCAAAGACCTTACTAAAGAGGGAAGGCCACGAGCAGAGATTAGGCTCCCCATTTCCTGGGGAAGAAACAAGGCATGGAGAGACTGAGTCAGCCTGGACCCACACCAGGGTCTGTCCTCACCCGTGTTGCGGGTTTCAGACCTTAACTTTCAGATCACCTGGAGGGTGAGAAATGAATGAAAAGCACTGTCTCGCTCTTCCCTGTGCTTAACTCCCGTTCTCTTTCCTTGGAATATGATTCCTTCTCTGTTGCTGTCTTTGATTGATTCCCCTCCACTCCTCATCCCCCGGTATTTGTCTTCTTCAACATTTGCTTCCTTCTGCTCTGGGTGCGTTCTTTGCTTCGCCCCCACCTCGCCTCCATTTTGGTTTCCCCAATCCTTTGGTAACCCGACCGGGCTGGGACCAAGCCGCTTGTTTATCTTGGAGTCTGGGCTTAAAAAAAGAAGTTAAAATCTCTCCACACATTAAAACAAAGAAAAGAACATTTTATATTCCCTTTCATGGTCAAAAGATGATCCTTTCTTCCCCTTCACAAAATCCATTTAGGTGTTTATAGACCAGTTATCTTAACAATGACTGTCCTTTGCTTTTTCTCTCTGTGCCAATTAACATTCTTAATTGCTCCGCTCCAACTGTCTCACTTTTTGTGTGTTGGGGAGAGTTCCCTGACAAGTTTATTTTCAATTATAATTTATATTGCAAAGACGGGGAGATATTTATGACAGTAAACTTTCCTGTGTGCTGGGCTTTTAGCTCTCTCAAGGTTTGTTATAGTAAAGAACACTTGTAGCAAATTTACAGAAGTGCTTTCTCAGTGATTTTTTTTTTAAAGACAGAGTTCAGAATAAGCACTTTTGGGGAGGGGGAGGCAGTATTTGTGTCTGGTAGAGAAAAAAGCAGGGAAAACCCTTAGACAGGTTGCAAGTGCCAATACAGAAATGTTTTAAGTAAAGAATGAATCAGAGCTGCTAAATAAAGGAAATGAAATGGAAAAGCGTTTTTAGCTGAAAAATTGTTCAATCAATTGAACCTTCAACTTGCTTTTGAAAATCTATAAGTTTCTCCTGTCCGGTTACGAAATATGTGAGCATCCTGATAAGCATGTTTATGGACTTAGCCATTTAGCTTGATCGCTCATGTCACCAAGGCTCATGTCTTGCATAAGAGCCCGCAAAGGGAGTAAGATAGTATTTGGAAAAAGCTCTTGAAGGGTCGTGAATTTGTGAAACGCCAACAGTCATTTCAGAAAAACTCAGGACACGAGGCCTTCAGGAAAGAAATCCAAAACTTGAACAGAGCTATGTATGAACAGGAGGTTCACTGAAATATTATCTGTAATAAAGGCAAACACCTCGAACGCAATAACAGGGGCTGCTTAAGCAGATTAAGAGTTTGTTCAGACAGTGAAAAATTACAGTATGAAACACATTTGCAATGTGTCTGTTTTCTTAAATGTGGTGGAGAAGGCTCGTCACATCCTGGTTCATCCTGAAATGAACAGGACCCCAGACTGTATTTTCAAATTGATCTCAATTACGTTATAGGTATGATATTCACGGAGGAAAGATTTGAAGAAAATTCACTAGAATGTTATCTTTTTCTGATCTGCAGAGGAAGCAGATAAATTACTCGAATCATCCCACAAGTGAATATAAGATGGCGATTGAGCAATCTTTGAGGGAAAAGGCAAGAATGCAGGGGTTTGATTTAGTTGGGGGGAGGTTAAGAAGGCTCCCCTGGAAAAGATCAAAGGATTTGATTGTGATTTAGTATTCTAAATTTTATTAGAAAGTGTTTTGCTATTTAAAAAAAACAACAACGTAGTAGGTGGATGCTAACATGGCCTTGAAATCATATTACCTATAGACCTGGTTTTTCAACTCTGACACTATCGACATTTGGGATCAGATCATTTCTTGGTGGGGGGTGGGGGGGTCGTCCTGGTCATTGGAGGCGTTCGCAGGATCCCTGGCCTCTACGGTCTAGGTAGCACTCTTGAGTTGTGACAACCCAAACCTGCCCTAGACATGGCCAAACGTCCCCTGGTTGGGGAGAGAGAAAAACTGACCCCCCCCCCAACCCCGAGAACTCTGCTGTGGACTCAGAGCATCAACATTCTCTACAGCACGTGAGTGCCTGAGATTGACCTCAAGATCTGCATGCCTGGACTGGAGTGAGCTAGTCAAGTGGCTGAGGCACATAAGTGCCCGTCACATCAATTTTTTCATTCTTTGTCCATCTACTCTTCAACTGACGAAGGTGCAGAAGCAAGTCTCCTTGTTGGCATTTAACGAACTCTCTGGCGTATTAATACTGTGTTTTCTTTTTGGGTTTTTTTTGTGTGTGTTTTTTTTTTTTTTTTTAGTATATACTGGTAGACTTCCATATATTAGCAGCAACTAGAAAGACTAATTGGAGCAGGAAATTGTTCGATACCAATTTGGGACTGATAAAATGGCGACAAGCAGAGAGATATCGAAATGAGGGAGGGGGAATATCATTAGTTAAGCGGTGATTAT